GGCAGAGCTGAGCTGGGACACATCCCATTGGCAGTTCTAGTGGGAACCCTGAGATGTTCTGAGTCTCCAGGCCAGTCCTGGCTTCAAGAGCAAAGGATTCGGCCGTGTTGACACAAACTGCATCCTGGGAGTGCTGTTCCCCGCTCGGGCCGGCCAGGGAGAAGAAGAACGTTTTCCAGGCGCCTTCCCCCTCGCCGGGGCCGGACAGCTCCATCTACAGCCCGTAGGAGCAAACAGTCCCCTTCGGTGGCGCTCCCCGCCCCCCGCAGCCGGCGCGCCAGCCAATGGCCTCGGAGCTCCTGCCCGCCTGCGGGCTGGGGGCCACCGAGCCGGCCTCTAGTCCGGGGGGTCGGCCTTCATGTCCCAAGCCTGCTGGGCCGGGCTGTGGGCTTGGCTTCTATTACTTGTACGAATGCATTGGGCATCCCAGGAGAAAATGGTGCCTCACCCTTGTGAAAATTTCACCTACTATGTGTCAGATTCTGCTTAGGCAGGGGGTGGTTTTTGTGGTTGCATATTCTTAGGTTTAAACTGCAACATCACTACTGGCTGTGATTTTTAACATGTGCTGTCTCCAAGCTGCCCATGTTCTATATAAACAAGGGTGGGGAAGTACATTAGTCTTATTTTAATGCTGAAAACTTGGGAACTAAGGCCTGGCGCATAGTAAGCTCTCAGCAAAGGTAGTTAACCTGATCCTTTTGCCAGGCCTGATGATATATGTTTTTAATCCCAGCACTTGAGAGATAGAGACAGGTGGATCTCTGAGTTTACGGCCAGCCTGGTCTCCAGAGTAAGTTCCAGGCCAGTCTTTGCAACAAAACAAAAAAAAAAAAAAAAAAAAAAAAAAAAAAAAAAAAAAAGGAAAATATCCCCTCAAAGATAAGTCCCTGTAGTTATCTACAGCATATGGTCCACTTTGTCTTCCTAAATGACCAGTTCTTATCTTGCCTGGGGCAGTGCTCTACAGTTTACCACCCTATGGAAAGTCAGACCTTATGGAAACGATGAATTTTAGTACACTTAAAATTGAGAACAGAGTGAAGCTGTGGGCAGGGGTGGGGTGCCAGAAGGGTTATCTACAGAAGTACAGTTATCAAGTGCTTTGTTAGGCATGCTTCCAGAATATAGAAATGAGTATTTCATAGACTTATTCTCAAGGAGCTTGGGGGCTAGTGAAGGCTGTGTTTCCAGAAGTCTGTGCTTTCTTTCCCTGTTTCCTGGATACAGGTTGTGCAAGCATGCAAGTGCACATATCCCATTGTAAATATCATATCCACTATTATTAGAGAAACCAGGCAAGTCCAGCAGGGAAAGCTCCAGGCAAATATGTTTCTAACAACAATCCACATCTTAGAGGACATATTCTGACCTATGGGATGTCAACTCTATTTTCTCTTTCCTAGAGATGGGAAATGAAGCATTAGGTTAGTCCCAAGTGTTTAAACTATCTCCTCAGGATAAAACTAATATGATTTCCTGTCTTAAGTGTGTAGTGAGTCATAGCAATGTCCCTTTTTATACAGCAAGACACCACCAATCTCACCCAGTTTCTTCTTTGCAGGTAGACTTCCACACAGCCATTCACACCTTTACCTTGTGGCAGAGTTTCTGCTTAGGCTAGAGGTCCAGGTCATGTTTCATATGAACAAAATACATAAACAGATTCAATTTTACATTTTCAACATATCTGCATTATTTTATAACCATCAAGCCTATCAACTACAGGGCACAAACCCCTATAATCCATACAAACTGAAGAGTGTGGGGTAACTAAGGAGCACTTCTGGAAGAAAAACAAGGAAGGGTCTGATGGGGGAGCTGCTGGAGCTGCATTGGTCATGGATCCTATGATAGGTGCTCCAATGACCAAGGGACGAGGAGGCTGAGATATCCCTGCTGGGAGTGTCCAGTCATTTATTAGAGCAGTCTCCAGCAATCACTGGTTAACTATGACCTTCTTGAGGAGGAAAATGGGCAACTGGTTAAAGTATCATAGTTAATGTACACTTTTTGTAAGAAATAGACTTAGGCCTGGCCCTTGATCTGTCACGTGGGCATTGACTGTTTCTATCTTCTCTCCAAGAATTCTATAGCTATTGCTCTGGGCAAAGGGCAAGAGAAGGGGACTCAAAAATTTTAGAACATTTATCTACCATTCCCTAAAGCTCTCCAAGCCCCCAATGTTATGTATAAGTGGGGGTATGCTAGTCTATTTTAATGTTGAAAAATTATAAGCTAATGTCTGGCACATAGTAGGCACTCAGTAAAGAGAGTTACTTCACCTCTTTGCCAATATGGCAGTTCAGGCCTTTAATTCCAGCACTCTGGAGGCAGCCAGGTGGAGTTTTATTTGATAAAGGAAATGACTAGGCTCACTCTAGGCTTAAGTAAAGATGAAAACAGACTTCTGTCTCCTAAATTAGGCTCCGTCACTAATTTAATCAGCAGGGTTTCCACATGTGACACTGATCATCTTTCATCTCATCGCTCTGGAAGCTGAGGCAGGAATATCAAGAGTTCAAGGCCAGCTTGAGCCCGTCACAAAAACAACAACAAAACCAACTAGCCAAATAAAGTAACAATCCAAAAAAGGCTATGGACTGCCAGGTTGGCCATTGGGATTAGGAAACAAGGGCAGCCTCAGACTCAAGCTTTCCATCCTGCTGGCATACACATGTCTATAGACCTACCTCTGGAATAAATTATGGCTTCCTACTATGGAGTCAAAGACCCTTTATTATTCTCTAGTCCCCACTCTCTGCTCTAGGAAAGCAGGCCAACTTAGGCTATTTCCAGTTTAAGAACTAACTTTCTCATTCTCACAGGCCCTCTGCAAGCACTTGAGGGAACTTGGAAAAATAAAATACATTCTCTGTCACAGAGCAATGAAGCCATTCCAGAGTGGGCCCTGGCTTTTAAGTACCTCCTAAGCCCCCAGGTCATTCTCATATTCAGCCAAGAACAAACTAGTGCAGTTGCCCTTACTCCACAAGATCATATGAGAAAATGAAAATCCTGAATCCTACTGGCTAGTAAGTATGGTTTAATTATTCTTTGTACCTGTATCCTGTTTATTCACTGAGGTTGGCTGTTAGATATTGCATTTCTTATGCTTTTTTATTTTCTTAATTATGAACTGGAAGCCAAGAACTGATTGACATTATTAATTCATGAACATTCTTAATTTTCAATTCTGCTTGGTTTGGTTAAACAAAACCTAGTCTCCAGGAATGTGTCTGCTACCTTCCTGACCTGCTATTCTCCATATATTTATTTATGTTTATGAATATTATATATGAGACATATAATGTGGTAGTAAAAACCTATAATCTCAGCCCTTGGGAGGTGAAGATAAAGATCAGAAGTTCAAAGTCATTCTTAGTTATATGGCAATTTCAAGACCATGCTAAGCTACATGAGTCTATGTCTTTAAAAAAAAGTTGTCAGGCAGTGGTGGCATACACCTTTAATCCTAGCATTCTGGACCATTCAGGTGGTCTCTGAGTTCAAGACCAGCCTGGTCTACAGAGTGAGTGCCAGTACTACCCAGAGCAACCCTGTCTCAAACAAACAAACAAAAAGTTTCTTGCAAAAGTCGCAATCCTGGAGCTATTGTTACAGGTAGTTATGAGCACCCAACATGGATGCTGGGAGCAAAATTCTGTTCCTTTGTAAGGACAGCAAGTGTTCTTAATTCCTAAACCCTAACTCCTAAACTCCAGCCCGTATTTTTAGAAGAATATCAAGATTTATTATAAATACTGCTTTGCTAATAAGCACAAACCCACATAGTTCAGTGTGGTTTTATTAAGCCCTTTATTTGGAATGTAACCTGACTGATTCGAGAACTTCGGAATGACTGTTTTTGAGGCTGTTCTGATGAGACTGTGCTGTCCTGGCTTCCACGATGGCCTTAGACATGATATAGAGGGGACATTTAATTGACCAAGATGACCAAGGCTATCATATATCTATGACTGTGGTCAATTCTATAAGAAGTTATAGAATTGTAATTCTATAATTATGCTTGCCTAATATGCATAAAGTTCTGGGTTTGATCCCTAGCACTCCATAAAACCAAGGGGAGGAAGGAGGATCAGAAGTTCAAAGAAATCTAGGCAAATCAAGTTTGCATCCAGCTTGGGATACATGAAACACTGTCTCAAAAAACAAATAGAAAAAAGAGAAAGGGTGGGGTGGGTGAAGAGAAGAGCCAGGCATGGTGGTACTCATCTATCTGTGATCCCTTTACAAGGGAAGCTGAGACAAGAGTGTGAGTTTGAGGCCAACTGGGTTACACAGTGATACTTTGTCTTCAATAAACAAACAAAAACAGGAGCAGGGTCAGAAAAGGATAATACCTCTCCTTCCCTTGACTTCAAGTGACAAATGACTTCTTTCATAGAACAAACAGCATTTTCCAGGTATTTTGAGCAAGGATGCTAAGTGTCGGCCTTATGATAGTATTTGTGAAATAGAAATATTTGAAGAAACCTCGATAAGTATTAGACAGAGATTCTGTTCCCTCTGGCAGCACTAAACTGCTGTATTGTTCCCATTCCTAGATACATTTATGAGGTTTACAGATCCTGGTGCAGGGGCCAAAGGGATTTTACTGCTGACTGCAGTTGACTGAGTTAGGATGAGCATGGGAAGAGGACCTGGGCAGATTCTCAATTCTAGAAAAACTGAGAAACATGTAAAAGAATATTTTTTAATTCCTTTTTTTTTTTTTTTTTTTTTTTTTTTTTTTTTTTTTTTGGATACAGGGCTTCTCTGTGTAGCCTTGGCTGCCCTGGAACTAGCTCTATAGACCAGGCTGGCCTCAAATTCACAGAGATCCCCCTGCCTCTGCTTCCAGAGTGCTGGGATTAAAGATGTGCACCACTACCCCCTAAACTCTTTGCTTTAAAACAGTAGTTTAGAGCACTTGTTTTTCTTGCAGAGGACGCAGGTTCAATTCCCAGCACCCACAGAGTGGCTTGCAACCATTCATAACTCAAATTCTAGGAAATCAGATACTCTTCTGACTTCTACAGGCACAAGGCATGCACATGATGCACATACATATATGCAAGCAAAACATTGACACATAAAATCTCAAAAATAAAAGTCTTTAAAAGAGGAGTAGGAGGAAAAAGAAGAAAAATCAAGAGAGCATCAGAGCTATATGGGATTGTGGCATCAGAAACATGTGGGCTGGTAAGTGTAGAAAATTAGTAAGAGATCATACTAAATTTATGAAAAAGATGGTAGCAAAAGGCTGAGCCAGCTAGTACTTCTATGGATACAAAAGATGTTTGTTTTTATGTGTATGAGTGTTTGATGTATGTACGTATGTACCACATGCATGTCCACGGAGGCTAGAAGAGGGCCTCAGATCTCTTGAAACTGGAGTTAAAACTGGAAGCCACCATGTGGGTGCTGGGAGTTGAATTCAAATCCTCTGAAAAAGCAGCAAGTACTCTTAACCCAGAGCCATCTCTCTGGCTCCATTTCTCTGGCTTCTCCTTGTCACCTTCCCCCTTTTAAAAACAGGTTTTTCTTATGTAGCCTTGGCTGGCCTTGAATTCTCAGCAATCATCCTGCCCCAGCTTCCCAAGTGCTGGGATAATAGGTGTGAGCCATCACACCTGGCCAAACCTTGGTTCCTAACACTTGGCACTTCCAGTTCAGCCTGGCTTTGTGATCACTTTTAAGGTTGGTTCTGTAAAATGTGTTGTGGTTGTTACGCCCTAACACATGTGAGATACAAGAAGCATTACCACTACCTTATAAAGAAACAAAGTCTTCAGAAGGTAAAATAATGTTCTATTGCTTGAGACTTGACTCTAGGTCTGTACTAATGATGAGCATTAAGTCCCTATACACTCCTTAACCCCACTCCCAATCAATCTAACCTTTGTGTCTTTGTGGAGACCAGAGGACTTTGGGAGCCATTGCTTAGGAGCCACTGACTTTGTTCTTTGAGACAGGGTCTCACTGACTTGAGGCTTACCTTAGGCTAGGCTGACAGGTCAGCAAGAGCCTCCCCAGTTCTGGGATCCAAGCCCATGGCATTGATCCTGGCCTTCTCACGAGTTCTAGGGATTAGACTCAGGTATTCATGCTTGTATAGCAAACACTTTACTGAAATATCACTCCAGTCAGTCCCTAATTTTGAACCTCTAAATATCTTATTTATAGAAACCTGAAATGTGCCAAAAGATTAGTCTATTGTATATGTCCCATATAGTAAGAGACTGGCCCATTGCTCCAGTGAACCAGAGTGAAATGAGCAGTCAAAAATATCCATCTAATGGCACATGCCTTTCATCCCAGAACTTGGAAGGCAGAGGCAGGAGGATCTCTGAGTTCAAGGCCCGCCTTGCCACTACAAAGACCAGCTTGATCTACAGAACAAGTTCTAGGACAGCCAAGGCTACATAGAGAAACCCTGTCTCAAAAAACCAATGTGTGTGTGTGTATGTGTGTGTGTGTGTGTGTGTGTGTGTGTGTTGTGAAGGTGTATTATTTTATTTAATTTTATTAGATGTATCAGTAGTAGTGTTGTCCTCATCTGAATGCCTAATTGCTACTCAGGCAACTGCAAGAGGCTGCTTTTTGTTGTCTAAGGAGCTGAGGCTTAATAAGAGGGAGGAATGTCCTGTCTCCCTCAAGAAATAACTTGGGATTTCCAACCTATTGAAATGAAAGGAACTTAGGTACCTTTGTTTCAGTGAGACTTTTTGAGACAGAGACAGTATTTGTTATTGTCTCATAAGCCATGGGAACTGGCTGAGGTAGATATGGATATCATCTCAAGAGAAGCCTAGGGGAACCCCTATCAGAAACTTTGTAGAGTTTATTAATGAAGGAAGTGATTAGAGCATGGCTGTCTCTGGAGGTCATGACTAAGGTGTTTCCATTATTAAATGGCCTGCAGGAAGGGATCAATCATCTTTCACTTTCTAAACAATTAACCATTTATTTTCATATTTGTGGCTGAACCAGAGGCTCATTCAGTGTTGACAATAAAAACTCCAGCAAGTAAAGAGTAGTTCTGGTTAGAGCCAACTCTTGGATGCACTCTGAGGAACAGTTTTTGGGCCATCATCTAGGGGACAGAGAGATTAGTAGGACACTTCTGGGGGTTCCTCTTCCCTATAGGAACTAGTCATGAGCACAAGGTTCCAGGTGCCTCTTTAGTTACAGGGTTAAATGTATAGTTTCTCTCAAGACACCAGGTAGACATTCTACTTGCTGAAAACTTCTGTTGAATTTTACATTTTCCAATGGGCCTCTTTTGAACTTTGACAAATAGGTTCTACTTGATAGATTGGTGAATGGAAAGAATTGATTATACAACAGCTGAAGTCCCTACTTTGAGCCAGACTAAGGATTAGTATTGATTCCACATGCTTCCAAGTTTCTGGGATGGCCCTGCACATTCCCTTTTATTTGGTTTTATGGCTCTTGTTTGGTTGGCATTTGAGCTATATTCAAGATCCCTGCTGGCTATGGCTCCTAACAGAACAGGCACTGGGATCCGTTGGTATCACTCTGGTACATAGGCCTCTCAATAACTTTTGCATCCTTGGTAAATCTGTTGAGTTCAGATGAACTTTAGATGTTATCTAGCCCCACACTGCAGCTTCAGTAGGTATCTCTTCTTCAGCTCACCCTGAGGATAATACTTTGATTCCTTCTTTTTCAGGTGCAAATATCACATTCAAGCCCCTAGTGGGCCACTAATGAAGCTGAACCTGATTTTGGGATTTCAGAATTCCCAAGTTTTCCTGTGGGATGGTCCAGATTCTGGCTAAGCTCTTTATCCCAATAGACCACAGTTCTGCCATCATCTGTCTTGTTTATCCCTTTGGGATTTTCCCTGCCAACAGGCTGAAAGTTAGAACAGCAGGCTAGGTCTCACACATACTTCTTATGTTTCCTGGGATCCTTGGTATTATTAATGTCATGAAACAGTGATTTATATATATGATTGTCCTGAAGAGCAGCATGTTCAGGTAGAACGTTGACAGGAGCACAGTAACTAGGCAAACACCATCATCTATCATGGTTACACCAACTATGAAAATTGAAGGTTGGGCCTAGTAATAAGGAGAAAGCATTTTCTTCCTTACCCAGAAAGTGTCATGTGTAAACAAACAGTTATAGATCGCATTCTAGATATCACAGAATATTCTGGGGGAATGCAGGGTGTGGGAGTAAACAGTTTCCTGTCCCAAATACAGGGCCTCTTCTACTGTAGGGCCCACTAAGCAGAACAACAAGACAAACTGATTTCCACCAAGTTTCTACACGAGTTTCTCTGCTTTGGTTTTTCTGCCTCATTTGTCTTTGTCTGGACAGAAGCCAAAGGAAGGACAGGATTTTGGCAAAAAAGAAAGTGTGTCAAGAGATTCTTTCTTTTTAAAAAGATTCTAGAGGTTCACCTTTTCTTTCAACAGCTTCATTCTGGTGACAGAAATGTGAGAGCTAAAAAAGGAAGAGGACACACCCGTTTGCACAGATACTTAGGGATAGAACTAGGTTCAGGTGCTCTCAGATGACTGAGTCCAAGAGAAGAACACATGGTAGCCATGACCCCTCAAAGTACAACAGATGGCTGAGCATGATAGTTCATGCTTTTAATCCTAGCATTCTGGATGCAGAGTCAGGCAGATCTGAGTTCCAGGCCTGCTAGGGCTACATAGTGAAGTCCTGTCTAAAAATAGCACAACAGGTAAGGCAGATATGATTGATATCTAGTTCTCAGTGACTGAGGAGGGGTCTCACTCTGTTCACTGCCAGGGGGGGTGGGAGCAGGCAGAGATGAAAATCCTTTCCTCAAGCACGTCACATTACAACACTGCTATCACACCAGGAGGGAACAAAAGCCCTGAGCTCAGTGGCACTTTCTGAAGTGTTGGATGCCTTGACAAAGTACTGTAAGGATTGTAAAGATTGTAAAGAGGTTGGGCATGATGGTGTACCCAGAACATGAGGCAGAGGCAGGAAGATCTCAGAGTTCAAGTCCAGCCTGGTCTATGAAGCAAGTTCTAGGCCAGGATATACAGGAGAGAGAGGTGGGCAGAAGGGAGGAAGAGAGATTGAGAGAGAATCAAACATCAGAAATGGAAAAACAAGATCACCGGCTTGAAGAAAAGGGATGACTCTAAACTCATGATTCAGGCAAACTTTTAGACCATGATCTCACTGTTGTATCTGGGATTTCTGGGATAGTTAGCTCCTAAACCTGAAAAAACTCTCCTCCTAATTTTCTAACTAGGACTGTGGTAAAGTTCTCTACCCTTTTAAAAGCTGATACAAGAGTCTGAATGTTTCAAATCAAGCTAGTAAAAACTAAGAACTGTCCCCTTAAATAAGCTAAAAAAGTCAGCTTTCTTGTTCATCAACATTAAACAAAAATGTATTAGCAGAATCTAGGCCTAGGAAGGCAGCCTCCAATAATCATGTTTAAGGGAAAGGTGTGAACACAGGTGTGAACAGAAAGTAGCTAGTTTCACAGTGACATAAGAAGCTAAAGCGCATTCTCCCAACAGTCATCTCATCACTGAGGGGTTAAAGAAAGGCTCGGAGCATTCTCATGCCTCCAGATGGCTTTGAGGTTTGGGGGCTCTTTCCATGCATCTGTTTCTACCTAGAGGCAACTCTTACCTGCTATCCTGACAGAATGACCAGAAGCTAAATCTCAATCCCAAACCCTGATTTTGTGGTATCTGAAAAGACATAGGTGCTGGATTCTCTTCCAGTTTTCAAAATATGGTATTCTTGTACTGTTGTGGACTTCCAAAGCACAAGCATGTCTCTAGTTGAGTATAGACTCCCAAATTCCTTTATGTACCAGATAATAATTACTGTGGGTTGTGGAGCTTGTAGGCTTTCTCCTTGACCTTCTGCTCTGCTGTGAACATAAATAACCAATGGGCCACAGGTCTACAAAACCACCCCTCCATTCCCTTCCCCATACCACTGACTAGATTCTAGACCTTCAGTGCTAACACCTAGGCCAGAGGTTTCCAGGGCCGTTAAGAGTGGACCAGGTGGGTCTGGTGGCTGTGTGGAAGGATCCCTATCACCGGCACAGCCTCCACTGTGACCGGTCCGCAGGTGGTCCTTGAGTGTCTGCTTGTAGCGGAAGCTCCTTCCACACAGTGCGCAGGGGTAGGGCCGCTCGCCTGTGTGGATGCGCTGGTGCTTTATGAGGTGGTGTTTGCGGATGAAGCTCTTGCCACAGTGCAGACACTGGAAAGGCCGCTCACCTGTGTGCAGCCTCCGGTGGTTTAACAAGTGTTCCTTACGCATGAAGCTCTTGCTACAGTCTGTGCACGGGTATGGACGCTCGCCTGTGTGGATCATCTGGTGACGAATCAGTGCAGAGTGGCCATTGAAGTCAATGCCACACTGAGGACAGGAGAAGGGGCGCTCCTGTGCATGTCCCCTCTGGTGCAGCAGGAGACTGATCTTCAGGCTAAAGCTACGACCACACTGTGGGCAACGGAAGGGCCTCTCGCTAGCATGGGCTCGCCGATGGCTGGTGAGTCGAGCCTGGTCAGCAAAGCGCTTGGGACAATCAGGACAGGGGAAAGGGCGGTCAGTGCTGTTGTGGACCCGAAGGTGGTATGTGAGTCTTGAGGGGTGAGTAAAAGTCCGGGCACAATGAGGGCAGGTGGGTGGTGTTTCGCTGGCATGGTCCTGGGAGGTGCTACCGAGATCCATCTGTGGGGCAAAGTGCTTAGGACACTGTGCACAGGTTAAGGGGTGTTCAGCAGCATGGCTACATTGATGTGTCATTAACATGTCTTGGTTGAGACTCTTGCCACAATGGTGGCATGAGAACATCTGCTCTCCAACTGGAGGTGGAAGTGGGTAGCTTCCTAACTGAGTAAAAGTCACTTGTCCTTCTGAGGCTTCAGGCAAGTCAGTGGCTGTGCGTCCAAAAGGTGTCATGGGTGCACACTGCTGGCTTTTGAAAGCTACATCTGAAAACGTATCCTTGGCTGCTTGTGGTAGGGGGGCAGAAAAGGCGACTGGAACTTCAGGACACAAGGAGGCTCTAGCAAGGTCTTCAGCTTTGATGACAAGTTCTTCATCTGAAAGAAGAGACTCAAGAGTTATGTCACCAGTACCTCTCACATTCCAACCAGTTCTAGCAGGTTACTCTAGGAGCTAACTGTTCAGATAAGCTCAGGAAAGAGTTCTCATTACTAACAAGGCCCCTGTAGACTGTGTGCCAAATCATTACAAATGTAAGACTGAATGTTGATGCTCCATTTTGAAAAGGAATAGCCTTAGCACCAATCTTCCCTTATTATTTTCTTTATGTTTCACTTCTATTCAATAACTTTCTCCATTGCCTGTCCTAAAATCATCTCTTTATTTCTATTCTACATCCTATAAGATAGACTCTTCCTTGAAGTCTGCTGACTCTGTCTTCCCAGAAATAAGAACACTTTCCTCCTTTTTATCTGGCCATTCTGTGCTCTCTCCCTTTTCCAGGATGTTTCCCATCTCTCTTCCTGTCTTCCTAAATCACAGTCAAGTCTTTTAGGCCCATTCTAACCTCACACTCTTTACTAGGGATGGGATTGGTGGTGGGGGAGGTAGCAGGGCATGAGACAAGGTTTCCTGTAACCCAGGCTAGCCTCAAATTTGAGTCTAGCCTTGAATTCCTCAAATGCAGGGATTACAGGTTGGCTTTACACACCCTTGGTTATGCATTATCTAAATACCTAAACTAAAACTGACACATTTTCCAAACCTCAAATGTCTTTAAGTCATACATCTAACTCACTGTGGTACACCTAACAACAGACATGCCTAGTTTGGTATGTATGTCTGTGGCATAAATTTTCTAAAGAGCAGAAACCATCATATTCCTCAGCTGTACTTCCTAGAGTCTAGAGAAACACTGGGCACAGACATATTAAAAAGCAAAAAACAAAACAACAACCCCCCCAAAAAAAAACCCAATAGATTCTATTATGCTATATAAACAATGGAGTCCTTTCTGATCTTCAGATTCTCTTTTATAAATTACATTGTTTATCTTATGGAACGGGGGATTTGTGCATGCCATCTGCAAATGTGGAGGTCAGAGGACAACTTGTAGAAGTTGGTTCTCTCCTTCCACCCTGTGAGTCTTGGGAAATCAAGCTTAGTCAGGTTTGGCAACAGGTGCCTTTACCCACTAAAGCCATCTCATTGACCAAGAATCTCTTATATTTCAAGAAGTAAATCACAGTTGACCCTAAATTTCATTATAGAAGGAAACACTTGTTTCTTTGTCTATCATTATTTTTTCTTTTAATGAAAATATTTCCATTTGCACTCCTCCAACATTTTTGCCTATTTCTCTCTACCCCACTCCCCATTTTTGTTCTATTATATTTTGGTTGATTGATCTATTAGATTGATTGACTGAGATAGAGTCTTGTTATATAACCCTGATTGGCCTAGAACTTTCTGCCTTCTGAGTGCCGGGATTACAGGCCACCACACCTGGCTCTGTTCTTTCTAAGTGATTTTCAAATGCTCTGTTTTTCTAATTCCCATATTTCCTTATTCACATATATACACTTACTATTCTTCCTTTAACAATCCCATTTTTCTTTTGTGCATGTACCACACTTTTATCACTGATATACCCAGTCCTAACACTTCTAATTTGCATGTAAGAGTATGTTTTCTGGGCTGGTAAAATGGCTTGGTGTATAAATGCATTTGCCATTGAGCCTGACAATCCGTGTTCAATCTCTGGGACCCACATGCCCTTGGATTTCTGCATGTGCCTCCCCACACCCTAATAAATTAATGTTTTTTAAAATGTGTTTTCCTACTTAAAATTTATCTTGGTGACCTTTTGGTTTCATTTCTAACCATTATCTTTCCTTTCTTCCTCCATGTTCCTTATCTTTCCAGCAACTTTTCAACTGCATTTTTCAGTCACTCCTAGTGTGAGCTGGATCTACACATCTCTGTTCCCTCTGTCACTCACCAGCATAGGAGCCTTTGTACAGCTCATTCTCTTTGGACTCCTGGGGGACTCCAACCTGAGGCTCTTCCTCTTGTTTAATCCAAGACAGGATATCTGAGGTTGAAAGGCCAGGCTCTGTTTGTGGAGAAAAAGAGAGAATGGTTTTCAGGGACTTGATTCAGAAGGTAAAATTGTGCTGGAGAGTTGACTCTAGTTAAGGCACTTGTTGTACTTGCAGAAAACCTGGGTTTGGTTCCCAGCACATAACTATTTGTAATTGTAGTTTCATGGGATCCAGTGACCTCTTACAACCTTATTGGGCATGCAGTACACAAACATAGATGTGGGCAAAATATTCATATACATAAATCACTTAAAAAGGTAATATAATCAAGTTCATTTGATAAGCATGACATTATTAATTTTTTGGTTTTTGTTTGTTTTGGGTTTTTTTTTTTTTTGAGACAGAGTTTCTTTGTACAACAATCCTGGCTGTCCTAGAACTTGCTTTGTAGATTAGGCTGGCCCTGAATTCACAGATATCCACCTGCCTCTGCCTCCCAAGTGCCACCACTTCACTTGGCATTATTAATTTTGTACTTTTTTTCCTTTTCTTTTCTTTTCTTTTCTTTTCTTTTTTTCTTTCTTTCTTTTTTTTTCTTTGCTATGTGACTCTGGTTGGCCCTGAATTCACACCTGCCTCTGCTTCTGAAATACTGGGATTAAAGGCATGCACCACCACATCTGTTTACTACTGCTTCTTTGTTTTTTCTTTTAAAGACATAATCTCATGTATCCCAGATTGGCCTCAAATTTGTTATGTGACCATGGAAGTCATTTAACTCCTAATCTTTCTGTCCCCACTCTACCTGTATTGCTGAGAATACAAGCTTGTGCCATCATGATTGTGAAATGTGACTATAAAACCCATATTTCTGATGAATAGAATTTCATTCATTTGGGACCTTCTCATAGCAACCAGCCCTCTACATTTTTTTTATTTCATTTTTAGTGTGTGTGTGTGTGTGTGTGTGTGTGTGTGTGTGTGTACTAACCACAGTTTCCCCTCCCTCCTCTACTCCTGTTCACCCCCCACACTCTCATCTACCTCCCCTGCTCATCCTCTCCTCCTCCATCTCTATTCAGAAAGGTGCAGTCCTCCCATGGGCTTGAACAAAGCATGGCATATCAAGTTGAGATAGAACCAAGCTCCTTCCCTGGATCCCAAAAGCCAGCTAAGTACCAGGGACAGGTCCTGATCTCACTGCTAGGATCCTTATAAACAGACCAAGCTACACAACTGTCACACACATGCAGAGGGCCTAGGTGGGTCCTATACGTTCCTTAACTGTTGGTTCAGAGTCCATGTGCTCTCATGAGCTCAGGACAGCTGTGATTATCTACTTTCACTCTATGGGTTTTTGGGATCAATTTCAGAGCATTAGGCTTGACAGCATATATCTTTACCCACTGTCTCAATGACCCTACCTTTCTTTTCTTTCTTTCTTTCTTTCTTTCTTTCTTTCTTTCTTTCTTTCTTTCTGGCTTGCTTTCCTTTCCCTCCATTCCTTCCTTCCTACCTCTTTCTTTCTCCCTTCCTCCTTCCTTCCTTCCTTCCTTCCTTCCTTCCTTCCTGTCTGTCTGTCTTTGGTGGGGAAGGGAGGCAAAGTCTCAATTTGTAGCCCTGACTGACCTAGAACTTCCTATGTAGACAAGGCTAGCCTCAAACTCACAGAGATCCACCTGCCTCTACCACCACACCCCACCTTCGTATGTATGTATGTATGTATGTATGTATGACCAAAAATCAAGGAAGGAACAAAGATAAGGCTGTACTTAACTTACTAGTTTTGTTTGTAGCACACAGTAGGAAATAGAAAAAAGCAGGTTGCTGTTGCTGAAATTGACACTTTCCTGTTTTCCCTATAGCAGACAGTTTTTGGGCCCTATTCTTACTCAATCTCTTCTTTCTGCTCTGGGCACAGTTATATTCCACTAGTTTCTGGCTGATTTAAAAGACAATGGAGGAAGCAAGAGAGATGGCTCAGCAATCAAAAGCACTGTCTGCTTTTCCAGAGGACCTGGGTTCAATTTTCAGCATCTACATGGTAGGATAGTAGGTCACAGCTATCTGTAACTCCAGCCCCAGGGAATCCAATGCTCTCTTCTGTCCCCCATGGGCATTGCACACATTTGGTACACCAACAAACATTCAGGCAAAAGACCCATACACATAAAATAAAAATAAAGATAAAGCACTAAAGAAGTAGAGGCAGGCAGATCTCTGTAAGTTCAAGACCAGCATGGTCTACACAGAGAGTTTAAGGATACACAAGGCTGCAAAGAGAGACCCTGTGTCAAAAAAGGAGAAGAAGAAAGAGGAGGAATAAAGGGAGGAAAGAGGGTGAGAGGAAGGGAGAAGGGAGAATGTGTGTGTGTGTTTAAAAAGGCATTAAAAAAACTTAACATGGTGGTATATGTCTATAATCCTAGCATTGGGAGCTGGAGATAGAAGATTGTGAATTTGAGGTTATGAAGAACTTTATAGCTGAAGAACATAAAAAGACTGTTTCAAGAAACAAAACAGGGGCTGGAGAGATGGCACAATGGTTAAGAACACCGACTGCTCTTCCAGAGGTCCTGAGTTCAATTCCCAGCAACCACATGGTGGCTCACAACCATCCATTGTAAGATCTGGTGCCCTCTTCTGGTGTGCAGATTTACATGGAAGCAGAATGTTGTATACATAATAAATAAAGTCTTTAAAAAAAGAAACAAAACATACAGTAGTTATTTGTTTTTATTTGCAAGAAATAAAACTATAATTAACCTACAAGGCCTTTTGAAGAGCTAACTATAGAGAGCTTGCATTATTCTCTGGATATTAGCAGCTTTCTAACTAGCCCAATTTAGCAAAAAAAAAAAAAAAAAAAAAAAAAAAAAAAAAAAAAAAAAGAGGCATCCCAGGCCTCGGCTATAATAACGAACACAACAGCTGTGAAAGAGTATGTGTGTGAGGGAAAGTGGAAGAAGGACTGGGAAGAGACAGACAGACAGACACACACACACACAGAGGGAGAGAGAGAGAGAGAGAGAGAGAGAGAGAGAGAGAGAGAGAGAGAGAGAGAGAAAGAGAGAGAATGATGAAGCCCTTTGAAGGGGGAGAGTTCTTTCAAAAAGAATCCTTAAGTCCTAAAGGACTTAATATATCTCTTCCAAGGTTCTGAAAGCAGTGACCTGTGCCATTTAATAAGCAAATATAAGGATCAATCAAATGGTACACACTTATCAGCCCTTGGGAAGACTGCTAATTGCTAATCAGTTATCATTGCTTTTATATCTTTTCAGTTGACAAGGCTACAAAGTACACACCATTTATTTTGGATTCATATTTAAGATTACTGGATGTGATGATTAGCTGCAATTGTCAGTCTGACATAACCTAAGAAGAGTCTTAATAAGGAATGGTCTACACTGGGTTGGCCTGTGGTCATATTGAACTGTGTAAAATGAATAAATCAAGCATGCACTCTTGCATGCATGCATCCATTTCTTTTGCTCTTGACTATGGATGAGATGTGACTGACTACTGCAGCTGGAGCTTCTCCACAATGATCGACTGCCGCCTGAAACTGTAAGCTAAAATACATGCTTTCTCCCCTAAATTGTGTTTTGTCAGGACATCTTATCACAGTAATAGAAATGAAACTAGAACAAGAGGTTAGTAGTCTTCTCCACTGGAAAGAACCAGGACTCATTTCCTATGTCAGAAGGGAAATTCAGCACAGGCTGAGACTGCTCATCTTGAGAAGGAACTAGAAAGCTGTTCTTTATACACACAACACTTCCCTACATTGCAAGAGCATCTTACTATGTATGCCTCATCTGCCAGCAGTATGCTTTCTTCTGACTGCCTGCTTTCCTTTTACAACTCTGTAATTTGAGTACTATAAGCAGAATAGGCCTGTGTGGTAACTCCCAGGAAACCCCGAGTGTCTAATAAGCTTCTGTAATGGCATTTTGTATTTGTTGTCACATTCAGTGCTGGGGAATTAAATGTGTTTGGGAAGCTTGCTTCTGCTGCTTCACATCAATCTGCTGTAGTACATCTTAGCTGTGAGTATGACTGCAAGCTGAGTCCTGTGAGAGTTTTTTTTTCTTCAATGTTACACATTGATTGGTTCAAGTTACATGAATCACATTCTCAAGTTTTCATAAATATCTATACTGATAATCACCATTGCAAGCTAAAACTATAAACCATAAAAACAGTATTAAGAAAATCAAACATGACAGGTGGCAGCCTCAGTGTAAGGCTTTAATACTAGCACTCAGGAGGAAGAGGCAGGTGGATCTCTTTGAGTTCGAGGCCAGCCTGGTCTACAGAGTGAGATCCAGGACAGCCAAAGCTACACAGAGAAACCCTGTCTCAAAAACAAAAAGAAAGAAACAAAGAAAAAGAAAATCAAACACACTGTTTGATCACTTTCAGCAAATATGTACTGAACTAAATATATGCAAAAAAGAAAAATATATACCACAAAAGAAAAACAGGGAAGGGGCTATTGCTCAGTGGTAGAGTACTTTATTAACATGTAGGAGGTACTGATGTGTAAAGGACAATGTGATCATTGTGCTCCCTTAGTATTCAAATGTCCATGCAAAGTGTAAAGTATTTTAGCACTGAGTGTCTCTGGACACCTCTAAACCACACTTTCTTCATATTAAGCTCCCTTCTCTGACCAGGAAAAGGAGTTTAAGAGTATATACTCTTTTCTCTTACCTTCACTGGCATCTGCAGGAATCTCACTTGCCTCTGGTCTTGGCTGGTCATCTGTACTGTGTTCTCCTTCTGGTTGAATCTGAGATAAGACATCAGGTTGACTCATGGCATAATCTAGGAGAGGGAAATGGAAAGCAGGTATGACAAAGAGATAAATCAGCATGGTAACCAAGCAGCAGCTGAATGTTTGAGCTCCACAGTCAAGGAATTAATTCCCTTTAGATCCCTTATCACCTCTCTTCATCTATGAACCTCCAACTATTTACTCAAGAAAGGAGGTAAAAGAAAATGTAACATATGAGAAAATAACACAGCAGGTTAGCTCTGTCCTCTGTGGCTTAAAACCAGATTCTGAAATGTATGAGGACACTGCAGGAAACGCAACTATTTAAACCCTCTGGGACTGTCGGCACCTCCTTCAAAAGGTGCCCGCTCAGCCTCACCCATGGAGATGAGAGACTCGCAGTTGCCCTTCATGATATTCTTGTAAAGTTCCTTTTGCCAGTCTTCTAATTTTTCCCACTCCGGGGTGGAAAAGTAGATGGAGACGTCATCAAATGCAACAGGCACCTGAAATTACAATCACGTGGGTTAGACGGTCTCCCACCCAAGTCAGTCACTCAGTAAGGGCTTTCCTCCGCTCACTGGCTACTTCACTTACCTTTTACAACCTCAGAGGAAGGTCAATAAATACTCTAGGGCCCTGAGATGGCTCAATGAGTAAAGGCATTTGTCATCGAGCTTTGTGACCTGGGTTCAAATGCCACAACCCATGGTAAAAGGAGATAAGTACCTCCTAGTTATCCTTGGACCTTCATACATGTGCTGTGGTACATTTGCACCTGATATAGACACACAAAACATAGATGTAATTTGAAAAACACTTTAAAAATATTCTAAGCTGGGCATGGTGGCACATACCTTTAATCCCAGAACTTGAGAGGCAGAGACAGGCGGTCCCTGAGTTTGAGGCCAACCTGGTCTACAAAGTGAGTTCTAGGATAGTCAGTGCTACAGCCTGTTTCAAACCAAACATAATTTTAAATAACTTATGCTGTTTTTCCTTGGGTTTTTAAATACTATTTTTATTAATTGAGAATTTTATTTATTAGCCTAGTCTTTTTTTTTTTTTTTTTTTTTTGAGGGTTTCTGTGTGTAGCCCTGGCTGTCCCAGAACTTGCTCTGTAGACCAGGCTGCCTCTGCCTCCTGAGTCCTGGGATTAAAGGTATGTACCACCACCACTTAGCATTGAGAATGTATACAATGTATTTCAATCATATTTATCCCCTCTTCACAGATCTACCCCCACCTTCCTATCCACCCAACTTTTTGTTCTCTCTCTAAGTCCAACTTGTGATGTTCAAATATTCTTGGGTGTGAGGCCTGCCTGAGAAGCATGGTTGACCTACCAAGAGTCATACCTTTTCTTTTAATGTTCCCAAACTTATCACTGATCATTAATAAAACCCTAAAACCCTGACAAAACACAAAATAATATGTAGCTGGAACTCTTCCTGAAACATATTTAGATGTCTTGTAAACATGTGACATTGAGTGAAAACATCTCAATGTCACATGTTAAAACCTCAAGCTGTACTATCATGTTACCTGTTTGTATCTGCCATTTCTTAAAAACAAAACCAAAAAAAAAAAAAGAAAAAAAAAAACATTCCTCAGGATATCTGACTTTTCTAGTATTATGTTTGCCTCTAATTCTTCTAATCTTTTACCAATATTTCCCCTTGATGCAGTTTTCTCCTGCACATGGAATAAAGGAACATTCCATGTGTCATGACTAAAAATCAATAGGATTTATGTTAGAATAGCATGTATTGAACCAGAATTTAAATTTCTCTATATATCCTAAGTCTTTTTCGAAGCCTTGCATATTCTTTTCTTGCTGTTGCTTTTACAAACATTAATTTTCCTCCATATTTGTTGTGTTTTTCAGTCACTATGTAAAGTCTTCATTTGCCTTTTCCTAAGGATTATGTTGCTCAAAATGTCAGGTCTTAATCATAACCTTCACTCCTTCTATATCTTATATGTTGATTTAGCTTATATAAATATGTGTCTATATAGTGATTGTACTTTATTTGTATCTTCTTGGGCTGGGGTGTTACTCAGTTGGTAGAGTATTTGCCTAGCTTGTATAAAACTCTGGGTTCAACCCCCAGAACTACATATGCCAGGTATGGTGGTGTACTCTAGTAATCCTAACACTCTGGAGGTAGAGGCAGGAAGTCCAGTCATTCCTGTCTCATGACTTTATGTCAGCCTGCCACACATGATCATTTCAAAAAAAAAAAAAAAAAAAAAAACATATATTCTTTCATACATCTCAACACTTGACAATATAATTTCATGTTTTACATAGCTGTTCTTCTTGGTAAAGTCATTTGTAAAAGAAAGTTTCTTCATTGGGTGAAGGAGCTGTGGAAGGATTCTCATTAGGTTTTTGCTTCTGTTCTGATATATTGGATCTGGAAATAGAAAAGCTTTGATGTCAGGACCAGTCCCCATGGCCAAAGAAACTCTTGCCACTTGTGTCCAGATTTTTCTTTTAAAGAGCATGCAGAAGGAACTAAGAAAGTCCCTTCTCAAAAGTATCTGGAATTATTTTTGCAACAGTGTCAAGCTATATAGTATAGGCTGGCTTCCAGTTCTCCATCCTCATGCCTTAGCCTCTCAAATACTGGGATTACAGGAATGCACTAACAGCTTGCATACTATTTTGATTTTTTAATGTGTTCATCTACTCTTTTCCTTAGGATGTCTTCCAAAGACATATCTTCTTTTTCTCTTAGTTTCTGTTTTCCACTCTGAGAGTGCTCACAGGAAAGGTCTAGGATGTGTCACAGGCGAGCTTGATATAGTCTTAAATGAAATGTTTTGCCTATTGCTTTGTTTTTGTTTTTTTGTTTTTTTGTTTTTCAAAACATGGTCTCACTATGTAGCCCTGGCTATCCTGAAGCTAGCTATGTAGACTAGGTTGGCCATGAACTCACAGAGATATGCCTGCCTCTGTGCACATGAATATAGGTGCCCTTGGAGGCCAGAAGCGGGTGTCAGATTCAGAAGCAGGAGATACAGGTGGTTGTGAGTTACTGTATGTGGGTCCTCTGAGAAGCAGCAAGTAGGCTTAACTGCTGAACTACTCCTCCAGTCCCTCTAATTCTTCATGGGCCTCTAAGACTTGTACTTTCTCCTACTGTCTCTTGAGTTTGCATTCATGAGAAGATTTTCTCTTTCTAGTCCACTGTAGTTTGTCTTCATGACTACACGTTTCTTCTCTGATGCATTCATTCAGCCCAGACTTTTCATTCAATCACTGTGTCTGTTTCTTTCTCTTTTGATGTCTTTCCAACTTCTAGTGACACTTTTTCAGCTTGGCTTCTTAAATTTTAGCATCCCTGTTTCATCCTCCTCTACCATGTCCTCTACCAACCAAACATTGGTTTATGTTTGGCAATTCATTCTTTGATTAAAAAATTAGGTCACTTAAATCTACAAAATACCTATTTGCTATATTGAGTCATAATTTTCATTGTTTTCAATGCATTTTCTATTTCCTGCATTTCAATGTTTGCAACTTGTTGATGTTTAACCAACACTCTGAAGTTCCTTTATGGCTAACTCTATGCCATCTGGAAAGTCTACAATTTTTTCACATTTAACTTTTTCAGATTGCTTCTAGACATCAGGCTCCACTTTCATTTTCTCTAAGTACACGAATCTGTTTTCATATTCTATTTTTTTTTCTTTTGGTGGGTGGGGTGGGGTGAGGTGGAAAGATACCCGTGGGTGCTGGGAACCAAACTCTTATATTTTTGGTTTCAAGCATAGCCTTTAACATCTAAATCACTTCTCCAACCCTCAAATTTGTTTTTCACTTATAATATAAAAGTACCACAAAGTACCATAATTTTTGATAAATGTCTACCTTTGTAGCACATATTTTACATTGTTTTAAGATTTTATTTATTATGTATACAACATTCTGCTTCCATGTATATCTGCACACCAGAAGAGGGCACCTCATAACAGATGGTTGTGAGCCACCATGTGATTGCTGGGAATTGAACTCAGGACCTCTGGAAGAGCAGTCGGTGCTCTTAACTTCTGCACCATCTCTCCAGCCCCACATATTTTACGTATTAATTCATGATCTTTTTTAAGAAATGGAGGTTTTACTATGTTGCCAAGGATGCTCCTCAGACTCCTGAGCTCAGGTGCACAGCACTGCCCTAAGTCCCTTTAAGAATGCTATGTAGAGCTGGGTGGTGGTGGCTGCAACAGGTAACCTTAGCACTGGGGAAGCAGAAGCAGGCCAATCTCTGTGAGTTCAGGGCTACACAGAGAACCCTGTCTCAAAAAAACAAACCAAACAAAACACAAAAAAACTCACCATGTAGTATTTATCAGCTGTTTTTGCACATTTTATTATCTGACTAGCTATCCATTTTATCTTGAATCTTATTCCTTTCTGTCCAGTTCACACCTAGGTCTTGTTACTTCCAGTTTTTTTGTTTTGTTTTGTTTTGTTTTGTTTTTATGGTTTCTGGGACTTGGGGTGTGTTTTTTTATTTTTTTTAAAGATTTATTTATTTATTATGTGTACAGTGTTCAGCATCAAATCTCGTTACAGATGGTTGTGAGCCACCATGTGGTTGCTGGGAATTGAACTCAGGACCTTTGGAAGAGCAGGCAGTGCTCTTAACCGCTGAGCCATCTCTCCAGCCCCTACCTCCAGTTTTTTGTTTGTTGTATCTAGTTTGAATTTTTTTAAAGTTCATTAGTCAATGTATTTCTTGTTCAGTTTTATGTGATTTACTGACTTAAAAGACATTTTGTCTGGCAGTTCTAAGTTTTGCTTTTTGCGATGCCTGGGGTCAACCCTAGGGCTTTCCACATGCTATACAAATGCTCTACCACTGAGCTACATTCCAAGACTCTTTTGTAGCTTTTTTTCTCCAAGCAGGTTAGCTTATAATTTAACTGACATTATCAGATGTTAGAGAACAAACTCATTTATTACATTGACAGTCTTTGAAGGACATTTTGGGTTGTTTTTTTTTTAGAGATGGAGTATTTGTATATAGCCCAGTCTGACCTAGAACTTGCTATGTAGCCAAGTTTGACTTGGATTTGGTGCTCCTGTTTCCACCTCCTGAGTGTTGGATTCTAGGGATGTGCCACCAAGCTCAGTCTCTTTGGAGATTTTCTACTTGAGTAAACAGAATTCTAACACTTCAGCCTCTGAATTTTTTAATTTCTAAAAGACTTAAGTTACTCACTCTATTTTATTACCTATTTTATTATTTATTTACTTAGTAATTGAGACAGAGTCTCATGTAGCCCAGGCTGGCCTTGAAGAAATGATCCTCCTACCTTACCTCTCAAGTGCCACAATGACAGGTCTATGTCACCATGCCCAGCTCATTGGGGTTTTCATTGTTTTTTTTTTTTTTTTTTTCTCTTCCAAAATTCATTTAAATTCTTTCTGGCATTCAGATTTTTGGGTTTTGTTTTGTTTTCCTGTATTACAAACCCTTGCATGTACTAGGTG